CTCGGGTCCCATCAGTCGCTCTCTGCAGCCTGGGAACCCCTTTCCTTACGGCTCCTTCTCCCTGCCCGGCTTTGGGTGCCGTCCGTGCGCTCCCGTCCCGTCAGCGCCCACGCTGCAGGTGCTGGGGAGCCCCAGGGGCCCCAGCTCCGTGCGGGGGCCGGAGCGGGAGCTCAAGTTTGGGAGCTTCTTGCACAAGGGGGTGGTGGCAGCACCCTGCCAGCTCCGACGTCAGCAGGAACCTCCCAGGGATGAGGCCGACGGGACTTTCATGGCTCTGCCCTCGGCACCTCGGAGCGCTTCGGAGGCCGCTGGAGCATGGAGAAGCCTGGCCAAGAGATCCCTGGGGATCTGCCTTGTTTTCTTTTCTCTGTCCCGGGCTTGCTTGCTGCTGGGTTTGCCGTGCTGCCCTTTGCTGGTGGGAGCTCAGCAAATAGCCCTTGGTGGGCCAGGTTGGTTCCTCCTGCAGCCTGTGGCTGCTGAACGGGAATGCTCTGACCACGTTGGGTCTGACAGTGGTGCTGAAAGCTGGTGCTCACGTTGGGGTTGTTTTAAAGCCCTTGCATCCCGTGTAAAGCTCTTTCCCTCACAGAATGTTCAAGGTTGGAAGGGACCTCTAGAGATCATCTAGTCCAACCTTCCTGCTCCCACAGGGACACCCAGAGCATGTGGCACAGGGTGGCATCCAGGCGGGTTTGGAAGACCTCTGGAGAAGGAGACTCCACAACCTCCCCGGGCAGCCTGTGCCAGGGCTCTGGCACCCTCACAGTGCAGAAGTTCCTCCTCACCTGGAGATGGAACCTCCTGTGCTTCAACTTACACCCATTTCCCCTTGTCCTGTTGCTGGCCACCACTGAGAAGAGCTTGGCCCCTTCCTCCCTCCATTCCCCCTTCGTGAACTTGGACATCTCGCCTGTTGAACGTGGAGCTTGTGCTGGAGGACTCTGTTCTCCCAGGCACGAGCCTGAAGGAAGATCTTGAGCTTTGCTGAAGGTCTTGGGCTTTGTCGTGTCGAGGACGGGCTCATGGAAGCCCGCGGGCTGCGACGGGGGCCACTGTTTGTGACGGTCCTCGTGGGAATTCGCCCTTGCCGTGGGATGCAGCAGCTCCGGGCCCGCTCCTGCTGCCTGCTGGGGAGGAAAGCACCAGTAAGGAGGCCAGAACCTGCCTCCAGCCTCCTCTCGACACCAGTGCCGAGCACCAGGAGCTTCTCGGGCAGCCCTTTGTGCAAAGAAGGGGCACCCTGGAGAAAAAGAGCAGCGAGGGGGTTAATCCCGAGCCTGGTGTGGCCCCCAGCGCTTCCAGAATGGGGACAGGAGCAGGAGGAGCCCGAGCTTCTGCCTTTGGTTGCCCTCTACTGAAGTTCACGGAGTGCTTGGCAGCTCCGTAGGGTGCCCGGCAGCTCAGGCATTTCCCAGCACCCTGGTGTAGGCTGAAGTTTGTCAGGAAACCCAAGAAGCCGGCACTGCAGGGCGAGAAAAGAGGCCTTATCTCTGGGTTGAGATGCCCAGGAAGGAATTAAAGTATCTCACCTTGAAGACGTGCTATACTTTATGCCTAGGTGACAGCAGAAGGGCCCGCGTGGGCCTTGCTAATCTGGCACCTAGGGAAAAACCTCCTTTAACTCCCTTAATACTGGTTTTACTGAGTGGTTTGGGCATCCTGGCCATACCTCCAACTTGCATAGGTCGGGGTCTCTTGATGCAGAGCGAGCTGGAAATGCTTGGCTGCCTCTCCTTTCTCCAGGAGATGGAGGAGGAGAAAATAACTCTTGGCTTTGTGAGATATCGCTGCGAGTGTTGAAGTACTGGGGTTAATACGATATAAATATGGCAAAACAAACGGTTGGCCGAGGGCTGGCCCGAGGGCTAGTCAGGGTGCAGTCAACTCCCTATGTTATAGTCTAAAACATTTATTTTTCTCTCTTTTTTTCATTTTAAGGGGATAGAAAATGGCTTTAGTGCTGATTTCTGGAAGTTTTGCCCATTTTCCCCTCCGTATAACCGAGTCGGCTGCCTTTTGGGCAAGGTCTTTTATTTTTCCTGGGGACCATAAAGGAGTATCGGGCCCAGAACGTTAGATGAGGGTGAGGGAAGGGGGAGAGGCTGCTGATTTAGCCTCGAGGTTCCTCTAGTGTTTGGTTACATGATGGAAATACTGGACAGCACGAGAGGACTCACTCGCATGACCCACTCTTCCTCGAGCAATTTTGTGCAAGAATCACATTACATTTTACCATATAATTGTAAGAACCCTACCTATAATTGTAAGAACCCTACGTTCTGTGAGAGACCAGCTGAAATAGTTAAACCATTGCCTCGGTTTAGGAGAGGGTGAGTAATATTTAGGCCTTCTAATAGTTTTCTGCTTTCTAATTGCTTGAAGCTGCTGGGATTCTTCTGTGCTTATTCATCGACGATGTCCCTGTTTTTCACTTGGTGTTTTGCTTAATGTTTTTCCAACACACTGACTTAAAGCTGGGTATTTGAGACAAGTCCCTTCCGAAAGCCCTGTAAATAACTTTCTTATAAAAAAAACCCACATTTTCCGCAAAGAATTTGCACCCACAGGCTTGTACGCAGAAAAAAAATGCATGTATTGCTCTTTTCTCTGGAGAGGCAGGATGACCGTGTGGCATAATTCAGTTGAATTATTATTCCTTATTGCTCATTTTTAGCAAAGGAAGTGGCTCAGAGGAGGCCCAGGACTCACATCTGTCATTTTGGTGCCTAAAAGCTGCCTGTACCCCCTTAGGAGAAGCACTCCAGACCCCAAAAACAGTCTGCAGGCGCCTTGGTTGCCGCCAGGACTTGGTCATCTCCCTCTTGTGGGTGTCTGAAGCCCTTCTACAGAAGGGAGATTAATTATATTCATTAGTGATAATAGCCTTTCCTTTCTGCACCGCTGAAACTGAGACCCCGGGGCAGTTTGTGATGGATTTTGGCTGCAGACCGGGGCTGGTGGCAGACCCCAGACTCCAATAACCATCTCCTGAGCACGTGCTAATTATCCCACAGCTGGCTCCGTTTGCCCTCTTACCGTGTGAACTTAAGGAAGGTGTGAAATTCAGCTTGTCCCTACCCTGTTTGGAATAATGGTAAGCTCTGCTTTAATCTTAGGAGAAAACGAATCTAAGACCGAGCTGTGAGAACTTGAGGAGATGCAAACGTTGCTCCAGCACTTGCAAAGAACTGGTCTGTTGGTGTCAACAAGCAACACCTGGCTCGTCCACAGACATTAAAGCCTAAAGAAAGTTCCTAGGGAAGCCTCAGGAGCTGGAATCTCTTTGTGCTGGTTATACCAGTGAGAGCAGAGGTACCTGGAGGGTGTTGTCCTCGCGTTGTGACTTTGGCCCTGAGTTTGGGACACCTTGCAGGACAGACTCATTGATCTGAGTGTGTCTTGTTACGGAGAGGGACCGTCATGGTCTTGGTTTTGGTGGGTGATTTCCCTCCTCTGTCCCTGTCCTAAAGGTTCCCTTGCTACTCGTGGTCTTCCCCCTCCACTGAGTGCAGTGGTGGGATCTTGCCTGACCACAGAAGAGGGGTCTCGTGTTGAGTCAGCAAGATGATTCCACGCGGAGCGTGCAGTGCTGTGATCCCGAAATCCATAGGATCCCATCTCCAGAGGGAGGGTGCAGAGGAGCGCAATGGCCTTGGTGGCTTCAACCTTTTACCAACTATCACCTCCGGTTTCACAGTCTTCTTGAAGGGTCCCATCTTTGACCTGCTCTAAGTGGAGGCAGGAGGAAGAGCCCATCTTCACCCTGGGCCTTCCCACCTATCTGCAGCGTTGTGTAGTTCCAGGGACATCCTGTGGCCACAGGAGGAATGTCCCCACGCCGTGTCCCTTGGACAGGCCCCTGAGGTCTGTCAGGCCGTAATTATGTTGCCCTCAGGTGCGACTGTGCCAAGAAAGCAGCTTGGATGAATCCAGCAGTTCCTTGCCCTGTGCACCAAAGCGCTTGGCTTGCCTATTGCTGTGGAAAAATCCTGAGCTCTGCTTTCCCGGCAGCCTCGGGAACAACTGGGAACTAAGCTAGACGGAGTAAATCATTGCAGAAAAGATGAATTTTGGGGGTTTTCTATAAGCCTGTAGCTATGTGAGGTCCTTGACAAATATTAAAAGGACAAGTGTCTTCTCCAGAGCACTTGAGATCTCATTCAGATGTACTGGTGTGTCCTGGCCACCTCCAGAAACATTGGGGCTGGGCAAGGAGGTGCCATAAAAGCAGCAGGAAATGGCTGGAGCCCCAGAGGACCTGCGATAATAAATCCAAGGGGAATCCGGTTGGATATAGCATCTGCACCACAGCAGAGGGAATATTGCCCTCTTCTTGCAGGAATCCCTTCATGCCTTGGAAAAGGAGTAGCGAGGAAGGGAAGAGGTGGTTTTATGGTGGGAAGTGAATGGGAATTCTTGTTGTGCTGGTGCTCTGTCGCTGAGGGGCAGATGTTGGCTTCGTTTTTAAGTGTGAGAGAGGGGACAGTTTGTGCTCTGTTGTAGCTTTGCTGGACTGAGAAGATGAACTGAAGCAAGGAACTCGTTTCCTAAAGGTTGGAGGCCTAAAATAGGGGCACTTTGTTGGGCGCCGTCTCTTGGTGATCCTACTGGAGACGCTCGGGATGGGGATGCGACCGCCTCCACATCGGTGCGTGTTACCTGCGAGGTGAAGGGGAACCTGCTGGAACAGGAAGGATGCTGAGAACGGAAAAGGAGCATTTATGGCTGTAAAGAAACACCGAGAAATAACCTCAGGACTTTTCCTAGGAAACGGAGCGAACGACCCTGTGCCACGTGCTCTGCGTGCCCTGCTCGAGCCCGCGCGTCGGGCTAGGTGATCTCCAGAGGTCCATTCCAACCGTAACCATTCCGGGAACACAAGGGATTGTTTTTCCCCTCACAGGGATCTCCTTTTCCTTTCCAGACCCTCCCAAAGCAGCGAGTCGCCCGAGTTTCGTAGCCCTTGGCTGCCCGTCGCCTCCCGAGCCTCCCCGCCCAGCCCATGTGGCTCTCCCCACGCTCCAGGCGCGCGCCCGGCGCCCAACGCCATGTGTGTTTGTCAAACCATGGAAGTGGGCAAGTACGGCAAGAACGCCACCCACTCGGGAGACCGGGGGGTCCTGCTGGAGCCTTTCATCCACCAGGTGGGCGGCCACAGCAGCATGATGCGCTACGACGACCACACCGTCTGCAAGCCCCTCATCACCCGGGAGCAGCGCTTCTATGAGTCCCTGCCCCCAGAAATGAAGGAGTTCACGCCCGAGTACAAAGGTGAGGCTTCGGGGTGGAGATAACCCCTTCATGGCCCTGTTTTCCCCTTTTCCTGGACCTACCCTTATGGTTCTGTCTCTGGAGATGCCCCTTTCATGGACCTTGCTCCTTTTCCCGGACCTATCCTTATGGTTCTGTCTCTGGAGATGCCCCTTTCATGGACCTTGCTCCTTTTCCCGGACCTACCCATCTGGTTCTATCTCTGCTTCTCATCTTGTAATTTTGCCCTTTTTCAAACTAGCAAATTAGCAGGGCCTTTTGGAAAGGAGGATGTTTATTTTGCTGCAGGCACCTGGAGTTTGCTCTCCTTGCTAACTCCGGAGTGGTGGCTGTCGCCGGCAGCTTCAGGTTATAGATGCGTTATCTCTTATTGCTGCGGCACTTGACCCTGAGCACCTCAAGTTGGGTCGTAAATCCCCCGAGCACTTGCACACCCTCCAGCCTGCTCATTTCTTGCTGCTTCATTCTGTCGTTTTTACTGCCCTGGGTCACAAAGCTGCTGGAGGAGGAAGTGTTTCCTCCCCAGCGCTGAGGTGAAGCACTTGGCACCAGCGGCAGCGGAGGAGTGGAAAATTCCAGCCTCCGTCTCCCTGAGGGAGGGAGGGCGGCAGGTCTTTGCCTTTAGAAAGCTCAGTGTTGATGTTCGGAGTGGCCATGGCCGTGGTGGCAGGTGGTCTTCTGGAGCCTCCTGGTCTTCGGGTTCCCTCTGCTGCTTTGTCACAGCCTGGCCCTGGTGGGACTGGCCTTCAGGGACAGCCGGGGCCACCAGCTGCGCAGGGTCTCGCCAGTGGATCCACACGCAGCCCCGAGGTCTCCAGGCAGTGTCAGCGTAGCCATGTCCATAAGCAATGCAAGGTGACATCTCAGATGGGTCCTTACATGTCCTCGAGCTGCTCTTGGGCCGCATGGTGCGTTGGTGACCCCTCGTAGAGCCCCGGCTTCCTAGGATTGAGGGGACTCCTCCTCTTCCCCCTCCACTGAATGCAGTGGTGGGATCCTGCCGCCACCTCCCAGTGTCCTTCCTTGGGAGATCTCCTTCAAGCTAATGAAGCTGATAATCCCCATGGAGGCCTGTTGCCTCATGAGGACCCTCCTGGTAGCCTGAAGCTTTGTCCCCTGCCCCCCGTCCCATTCAATCTCTGTGTCCTGATTTATGGAATCCTGCTAGTGCCAGCAGCCTTCCCTACTCCTCTTGGGGAGGCAGATGTTGGCGCTGACATTCCCTCTTGGAACACTGGGATGTTCTCCCAACAGCCCACCGCCTGTTTCATCGGAGCGGCTTGAGGAACGTGGCCAAGTAGGACAGAATGGTCCTGCTCGCTTGCAGCAGGCCGGGGCAGTCTTGCTTCCATGATCTCCTGTCACTGGGATCCCCTGGGATCCCCTTAAGTCTTTCTACAAGACTTAAGGTGCAAAGCTGCAGTTGTCACCTAAACCTTTAAACTCTCCTAACTCCGGTGCTGGAGAACTCCTATTTTTCCCCTTTTTTTTAGTGGAAAAAGCCCACTCCTCTCTGGCAAGGGATGTCCTTGTAGACAGCAGGAACGGTCCTGCAGGACATGGATGCTTACCTGAATGACCCACATATATATTCCATGTGCTTCAGCCCCGCTCCTCCTCATCATCCCGGTAGCCTGCCCTTGACTTGTCTCCAGTTTGACCCTCTTTTGCGCTGGGGACTGGATGGATAGTGACTTCCCTCGAAATACCAGCCGTGCTTTCCCTAATCCAGCTCAGCAGGTGGTCAGGGCAGTGGTATCAAAATACACCAGACTCCCCATGGATGCCACAAACTCCCCATGGATGCCACAAACTCCCCATGGATGCCACAAACTCCCCATGGATGCCACAGCCTTCCCTGCTGGCTCTTTGCTCAGGTAGGGAGCAAACCCTCACTGCCAGGGAGCTGCTTGAGGGGCTTCTCCTTTGAGCCCTTAACAGCGTTTTCCTTTCTCCCTTGTGCTATTTAGCAGCTCTTCATCCCTCTGGATTTGCTTTGCCCTCCCTCTCATCTCCTTTTAGTATTTTATTTCCCCCCTCTGTCCTGTTGTACGTTGAGCTGCCGCCGCCTGGCTATTCCCGGGGGGGATAATCATTCCAAAGGCTGACCCCGCTCCGCCCTGCCAGGGGTGGTGTCCGTCTGTTTCGAGGGGGACAGCGACGGCTACATCAACCTGGTGGCTTATCCCTACGTGGAGAACGAGGCCCTGGAGGCGGACGAGGCGCCCGAGAGGGACCAGCCGCGCCGCAAGCACTCGCGCCGCAGCCTGCACAGATCCGGCAGCGGCGCCGAGGACAAGCCCGGCCTGGCCAGCGACGCCACCGAAAGGTAGAGAGGCTTCCGAAACGGAGCGAGCGCCGGGGCTCTCCTCGCCCGGAGCGTTTGGTGCTGCCACGCGAAAGCTGGGCTCTCTTGTGCTTGCCAGCCCAGGGCACTGGCACAGACTGGCACTGCAAACCTTGCCCCGGGGGGGGTTGTCCCGTTCCGAGTTGTATTGGGTTCGTAACCAAAGGACTAGCCGGGAATAATGCAGCTCTTTTGTGCTCGTCGTGTTGGTAATCTAAAGTAAATTCACCTTTCCCAGTCAGAGCTGTGTCCGGCCAGATGCGAATCCTTTCACACGTGCCGGCTGATAGGAGCAAGGATTTCCCCCTCGTGGAAAACTGAACCTGTGTAAAACCAACCCAGACTTCTCCTTTTTCTCATGTGGAGATGATGCTGACCCTCTTCGCTCCAGCTGGTCCCCAATCCAGCATTTTCTTCCAGGGCTACCTAGTGTATGGGTCTTTAGTGAGCTCGTGCTGCAGTGGCGGGGCAGAGAGGAGATATTCCTGTACTTTATCAAGTACAGCCCAGCACAGATGTTGAATAGACAGTGCCCTTGAGCGAGGTTCCTAGTGTGTAGCTGAGGATTTGCTGCTAGGAAGCTGCTCTTGGGCAGGTTTATCCTGTGTGAAACGTGCAGCAGAAGGGCCAGGAGACGACCCTGTGCAAGGGGCAGATTTGTGTGCAATAGTTGTTCCTCTCCGGAGAGTTTGTAGGCGCTAACAGGCAAGCTTGTTCTGTTCTTTATATCAGCAGCATCCAGGAAGCGAAGAGTCCCAGGGTGGACTTGCACATCCATTCAGATGTTCCGTTTCAGATGTTGGATGGGAACAGCGGGCTGAGCTCGGAAAAGATCAGCTACAACCCCTGGAGCCTGCGCTGTCACAAGCAGCAGCTGAGCCGCATGCGATCGGAGTCCAAGGACCGCAAGCTCTACAGTATCCTTTGCAGGGAGGAACTGCCCTTTTGGGTTTAGTTTGGGTCACGTTTTGGCTTTAGTTTGGGTCAGGTTTTGCCCAGCAGCTTGTCTGCTCGCTGCTTGGGAGGAGCTGCTCCGCTCTCCTTGTCCTTGTCGCCTCTCTGGAGTCTCTCCCGATTCCGTCGTGTCTTTGTGAGGTGGTGAACAGAGCTGAAGGTGCTGGTGAGCCAGAGACTTCTCCTCATCTAATCATGTCCTCTTCCTAATAATTCTTATCATTCTCTTTTGTTTTAGCTGCTCTAACTAGAGTGTTGATGAAACCCTCTTCTTGTGCACCCCAAGACACCATTCCCCACTGGTTTTAGGTGTCTTAAAACCCACTGCTTCAGTCAGTAAACCGGGATACGTCTTTTCCCCTCCACTCTGGGGCATTTTGTCTGCCCGTTTAATGTCCAGGTCAGCCTCAGAACGGCTCTCTGGGCTCTTTCAGTGTCTCTCCTCGTTTTTGCAACCTTGAGTAACTGGGGGGAGAGTCAACAGACGTTGTCATCTCGACGTCCATTCCCCTTCTTGGGTCGTTTGTTGAGGAGCGTGGGTCTCCCCGCAAAGACCTTCCTGATGACTTTGCCTGAAGGCATCCCAGGCTTCATCATCCAACTGCTCCATCTCCGCAGGATCCGAATCCTTGATCTGCTGCTTAGCCTCTCCGAGGAAGCATCACATCAAACATCTCAGGATTCATCCCTGCTGCTTTATTCAGTCTAACTGCCCACCTTGGTCAAAGCTACCAAGGGACCCTAGGATATTCGTCAAGTGTGACCTTCTCTTTTAACAAGGGCTGTAACGGGTCCTTCCCTGCTAGCCCATATTTATCTCTGTGTCTTCTAACTCTGCTCTCTTACAGTTGCCTGCTGAGCTGTCTGGGACGTTCCTGTCAGTCCATAGGTCCCCCAGATGTCTCAAAATCAGTGTTGCGGTTGCCCTCTCTATCATGTGGTACTGGGGCAGTTTTAGACGTGTTGCACATTCCAGTTAATTCAAGAGTTTTTTGCCTCAGATCCTTTAGGATTCTTGGGTGAGACCAGCCAGATCCTAGGGCTTGTTACTCTGTCTGTTGGACGTCTAACCTTTTGTGCAGAGCCTTCAGCTTGAGACCATTCTGGTTTGGAGATCCCCCTAAGCTCTTCTGCAGTAGATGCAGAAGCAAAGCTTCCCTCCTGCTTTTCTTCCGAAGGTCTCTCTTTTTTAATTTTTATTTATTTATTTTATTATCTTGATAACTTCTTTTATTCTTCCGTTATCTTTCAGCCCTTCAGACAGCCTGAACGGCTTCCTCACGTGGTTCAAAAAGGACTTCTGAACCTCTCCTCATGCGCTTGTGTTTGACGTTCCAACGTGCCTGGTTTTTCACCTGCCAGGGCAGATTGTTTTCCTTGCACAGCGGCAACCTTGCTTTCAGTAGCTCCTTTCTCCTGGCTCAGTTTAAGTGCATAGACTTCCCTTTTCCCGTTCTCCATGGGTGCCTTGGACCTCCAGGTTTCCATTTTGAAGAAGTGTCCGCAGCGCTCACGAAGATGGGAGTCTTTTTAGCTCTCCATCGGGCTTCCTTGTCCTCTGCAGTTCCTCCTTCAAAACCCAGCGCATTTTTTGCTAAATTTCCTTGGCTTTTGTGCACACTAAGAGCTTCCCAGCAAGGCTAATCTGTGCTACAGGTGTCGTTTCAGAGCAGCGTCTTAAACCACAGCCTGCAGGGCAGACTAACTCGGGACAGAGCTGATGGTGGGTCCGTCTTTCCCCTTCAGGATGAAGGCTGCTGAGCCTTGAGTTCCAGTTGATGGGAATTCCCTGTTCTTTAGCGATAGGCTTAAATGCTTGGTTGGATTTTTAAGCTCTCCTCCCTTGCCACCAAGTCCTGGCCGCGCTTTTCCTGCCCTCCGTGGCCCCCGAGCCCTCCTTGACGCTCCCGCAGAGTTCCTGTTGCTGGAGAACGTGGTGCATCACTTCAAGTTTCCCTGCGTGCTCGACCTCAAGATGGGCACCAGGCAGCACGGCGATGACGCCTCGGAGGAGAAGGCCGCTCGGCAGATGAAGAAGTGTGAACAGAGCACTTCGGCCACCTTGGGGGTGCGCGTGTGTGGGATGCAGGTAGGGATCCCCCCAGGGCCGTGGGCTCCGCGTTCCCTTTCCCATTAGAGCTTCCAGTAAAGCGCTTTCTGCCGAGCGTGAATTCCCAAGTGTTCCCCCTTCGGGTAAGTTTGCTGGTGCTTGTGGTGCCTGCATTTTGCGTTTGCTTTTAAGCCTGCAGTAACTGCAGCTCCTGCTTTTTTCCCAAGCTGTTTCCAACGCCAAAAATTCGGGGGGTTGCAAATGAAATCTAGTGTTCCTTGATGTTGAGCTAGGAGAGCAATCCCCGGCACGGCGGGGAGCGCCTCGCTTTCGGCACCGCCTGACGTTTGCTTCCGCACTGGGAGCTGACCGGTTCCTCTTGCCTCGTGGGTCAGTCCCCGAGCAGAAGGATCCGCCTGTAGCGCGGCTGTAGAAACAGTCGTTCCGTCCCCTCCCTCCCAAGGATTTTGTACGGCTGCAGATCCCTGCCCGCGGGCTCGGAAGCGGTCGAGCCCCCTCGTCGTGCTGCGTGATAGTAACACATATAGGCAGCCCTCGCTGCGGGAGGAGTATTCAGCACTTTAAGGCTCAGCCTGTCGTGTGGTCCTTCTTGGGGACCCTCGTGCTCCTTGGGGACCCTCAAACCGCAGAGCTGCCCTTGGGGCCTCCCTTGGTGGCTGGGCAGCCCGGGTGGTGACGAGCAGGGTGTCTGTGGGACGCACCCATAAGGTGCTCTGGGGTTTGAGGAACAGGCAGAGCTTTTCCCTGCCCGCTCCTGGGAGCGGTGGCGTGAGAAGGTCCCCCTGTCCTGTCAGTGCCAGACAGCTCTAGGCCATCGCTTATTGCCTTAACCCCGTCCTTCCTTCTTGATACGTGTTTCCTTTGGCCTTGCAGGTCTATCAGCTGGACACGGGGCACTACCTCTGCAGGAACAAATACTACGGCCGCGGCCTTTCCATCGAGGGCTTCCGCAACGCCCTCTACCAGTATCTCCACAACGGCCTGGAGCTGCGCAGGGACCTCTTTGAGCCTGTCCTCGCCAAACTGCGCAGCCTGAAGGCGGTCCTGGAGCGGCAGGCCTCCTACCGCTTCTACTCCAGCTCCCTGCTCATCATCTACGACGGGAAGGAGAGCCGGGCGGCGCCGTTCGCCGAGCGGCGGCCGGAGCCGCGCGCCAAGCGGGGGGACAGCGCCCTCGGCGAGGGCCTCCCGGCCGGCGGCGCCCCCGAGGCCGGCCCCTCGGGCCCGCCCAAGGTGGACGTGCGAATGATTGACTTTGCCCACAGCACCTTCAAGGGCTTCCGCGACGACCCCACCGTGCACGACGGACCCGACGTGGGCTACGTGTTCGGGCTGGAGAGCCTCATCAACATCATGGAGCAGATGCGCGAGGAGAACCAGTAGCCTTGGGCTGCGGCCTCCCCTTGGCGTGCTGGCGGCGGGAGCAGCTAAGGCCACCTCCTCCCCCGGGGAAAAAGCGGACAACTTTGGGTTTTAAACACTTGGCATTGCTCCCTTGTTTTTTACATGCCCTTGAATAGAAGAGCTAAGGGGAGGCAGGATGGAGGAGCTCCTGGCGCCTGCCCCGGGGCTTTGACCGCACTGGCTCTGCCGCCCGGAGGAGACTCCCCGCTGGGCACGGCGCTTCGCCCGTGCATCCCGCAGGGAGCACCTGGACGTGGGAAGAGAAAGCAGGAGAGAGCAGGGGGCGGGAGCGCTGACCGGGGGAGCGTCTTCCCTCGGGAGGCCCTCGGAGAGCCCTTAGCTCCGCGCCCTCCGGGATGCCGTGGAAAGAAGAGGGCCTCGAGGGCAAAGCAGCGGAGCGCCCCGGGTAGCGCCCGCCCCGGGCGGGGGAGCCCAAGGGACCAAATGCGCCCCAAGGCGGGCAGGGGGTGCCCGGGGCGGCCCCCCAGCGCGGCGCCCGCCCTGCCCCGGCGGCGCACGGAGGGGTCCCGCTAAAGGAACTCTGCCTTGGACCACTGCCCCAGCAAGAGCTCGGCTCCTGGGCTAGCAATAGTACCTGTAGCACGTCGCCCTCGCCCCGCGGGCCCCTTCCCACCAGTTCCGTTTTCCCTTCTGTGTTGCATTGGTCCCCGCGGCTGAGCCCAGGTCCCCACGGAGGCCCTGGACCCCGGGGGCCGCCCTGGTTGGACGGAGGTCAGCGGGATCCCTGCGGCTCCCTCCTTGCTCCTTCCCCGGGACCCCCAGGACAGCTCCGGCTGCCCTTCCCTCGGACGGTAACCGGGGCCCTCCCCTGCTGCGGATCCCGCTCCGGGAAGGAGTGGGGAGCACCCCCCACAAGGGAGCCTCTCCCTGGGGCGACGCCGCTTATCCCAGGGCCCCCTCCTAGGCCCAGCCCCTCCCCGTGCTCCTTCATCGGCTTCTGGGTGCGTCTCGATGGGGTCCAGTCCGGTGTCACGTCCCTTCCCCTGCATGATTCCCCCGTTCAGAGCCGGGCCCGCCTGCCCCGGGGACGCCCCGGCCGGGGCGGGGGCGCGCTTTGGGAGCCCCCGTTCCCCTTCCGCCCGGACCACTGCGACGGCAGCTCCCCCGCTTGTAAATGGCCTCGGCAGCAGTTTGTTTTTACACGAGTACTCGCCCTGTTTGTGTTTCACCGAGAACCAAAAAGAAAAGGAAAAAAAAGCAAAAAAAACGAATTAAAGGATCTGGTTTTGTCCGCGCTGTGGCCTTACTGCGTCGCCCCGGGGTGCGCGATGGGTGGCCTCCCTCCCAGCCCCGGTCCTCCGCGCCCCTGGGTGGGGGGCCCTTGTTGGGCTCCCTTGGGGTGCAGCTGCCCGGGTGTTCGCTGCCCTCCTCCGGGGATGGGCGGGAGGAGCTGGAAGAGCAGGGACAGAGCGGAGAACCGGAGGCGGCCGAGCCCGTGTCCGGGGGGGACGCGGTTCCCGGGGGAGCCGGAGCTCAGAACAGACCCGCCGGGGCGGCGGGTCCCGCTCCGGGGCGCAGAACTGACAGCGCGGGGGTCCCTGCGCGGGCGGGAAGGCGGCCGGGCGGGGGGCGCTGTGGCCGGGGCCGCCGGCCTCCGCAGCGGCCCCCGGCCCGAGCCGCGTCCCGGGGTGACCCCTGGGGGCGGGGCTATCGGGAGGGGGCGGTGCTATCGGGAGGAGGCGGGGCTATCGGGTGGGGGCGGGGCTATGGGACGGGGAAGGGCTACTTGTTCCAAGCAGCGGAACTGTAAGACCCAGTGGGCGGGGCTATGCGCCCATGGGCGGGGCTATACGTGCTAGGGGGCGGGGCTTTCGGGAGGGGCCGCTCTGTACACCCAAGGGGGCGGGGCCTGCGGGGTGCGG